CTTAGAGTAGAAGTAACAAAATTAGTTTAGCCTTATATAGTTTGTTAGTAAGCCGTGCTTTGTTACTAAGCTATATAATAGGCTCTACCTATGTACTTTTGCCAAGAAAATAGAATGCAATAATTTCTTTCATTCCAAAATTAACAACATTAAAAAAATAGAAAATCCAAAAATACATTTAAGCTAATAAAATGTAAATCAAGATAATTAAAATCGAACTAAATATCAAACCGGTATACTTATGGGTTCATGGTTTTAAAGTTTAATCGGGGTTGAACCGATTATATATAAATATATACTTTTTGTCATATATGAGAACTAGACGATTACTCGTGCAATATACACATATATTTTATTAAATTAGTTTTAATAATTGTTATAGTAATATAAAAATGATTTAAAATAGAAATGATAAATATTTTTTATATTGGCCGTATTTTTTATAAAAATAAATTGACAATAATTTTATAAATTTATTTTTGAAAAATAAAGTATATTTTTAACATGATTAAGAAGAAGAAAAAATAGAAAAGTGTAAAACAATAAATCTTATATATATATATATGGACTAGAAATTTTTGAAAATGAAGATGACTCGTGAACTCTAATTATTTCATCATATATTTATTTGATATAGTCGGAGCATATAAAATATTATTATTTTTAAATGGACTAAATTATTATATTATACATCATATATAATAATAAAAGATAAAATAAATTTGTAAATCAACAAATAATGATATTAGAAAGAAGAAGAAAATAGAAAAACAAATTTTTGAAGGAATAGTGGAAGAAGAAAATAAAAATAAAAATAAAAATAAAAATAAATTGATTGAGAAGGGAGAAAAAAATTGAGAACCTTAAATTATTTCAACGTGAAACTTTATATAATATATTATTTATTTTATCTTTTTTTTAGGTTAACATATACTTAAAAAAATTATATATAATTAATAGGTTATAAATAATTGTTATATAAAAAATTTATGAATAAGTTATGAGTTAATGGAGTAGTGGAGTGTACATAAGATGACTAAGAAAACTATATTTTCTATCTTTTAAGCCATAAGAAGAAAACTATATTTTTTTAGTTAATATTTAGATTATTTAATTATTAATGAGTATTAAGAGTAAAAATTAATATTTACTTATAATAATAAGAATAATAAAAAAATCAAATATAACATATAACAAGTGGATACTTTTTGCTATTTAGAGTTTAGTATATTTAGTTTTTTTTCTTTATTTAATTATTATTTAATCAGAAGCATAAATATCAAAAATAGAAAGAAAAAAATAAAAAATAATGTCAAAATTTATACTATAAAAAATATAATGGTCGGTCTTTTATAAAAGTTATATAAAATTTTTTTTCAACAATATATGTACCTCTAAAAAAATATGTCAAAGAAATTTCAACCTAAAAAATATTTGTCAAAATTAAATATTATATTATCAAAATAGAATCGAATATACATTAAATAAATTTAGAGTATGATTAAAAGATTATAAATTTTTTAGAGATTATATGGATTAGCTAAGGAATACTAAGATATAATTGACATCAAACCAACAAACTTACCAACTCTCAATTGAACCGAACAATTTGGTCTAATATATAAAAAAAATGAAAATAATTGTGCATATATTATATTAATAATTTGAATGTAATATAGAATAAAAAGAGTGGTGAGCCGTTAATAAATATGGAATATTTCAAACCAACATATAATACAAAGGAAAATTTAAAACTTTAGAATCACTCAAGACTCATAAATAAATTTGAGATTCAATTTTTTGACTAAAAATACTATCATATTTCCTTCTAAGACAAAGAGAAAAAAAACACCAACAAAGTAAACTTAGAAAGAAACATAACAACCTTTTTTGATTTAGTTAAATAGATATTTCCTATTTTTTTAGTAATTTTTAATATTTTATTTAATTAGAAATGATAAATATATATTATAAAATTATTGGATAAATAAGTTGTATGTTTAAGGTTTGTAAATATATATATATTAGTTATTAGTTTTCAATGTAATAATTTAAATAATAGTTTTCAATATATTAATTAATTAAAAATGATAAGTTAAATAAGTATTTTATATTTTCTAGTCATTTCTATCTCCTATTTTTTAACCATTTCTAATATATTAATTAATTAAAAATAATAAATAAAGAGAGATTATGAAATTATTGGATTAATATATTTTAAATTAAAATTAAAATAAAAAATGAATTAATATTTAATAATTATTAAACTAACTTTTGTTTTAGCTCCAAATTTTTTTTAAGAGATTAAACGACTTTTAATTTAAGATTCTTAAGAGACTTAACATCTTAAATAATAAGATATTAACTAATTAAAAATGATAAGTTAAATAGGTATCTTCTATTTTTTAGCCATCTTTATCTTCTATTTTTTAGCCATTTCTAATATATTAATTAATTAAAAATAATAAATTAAGAGAAATTATGAAATTATTAGATTAATATTTTTAAATTAAAATTAAAATAAAAAAATTAATTAATATTGATAATCATTAAATTAACCTTAATTTTGATTCTAAAAAGTTTTTAAAGAAACTTAACAACTTGAATTAATAAGATTTCTATCTCCTATTTTTTAGTCATTTTTAATATATTAATTAATTAATTAGAAATGATAAATAAAGTGAGATTATGGAATTATTGGATTAATATTTTTTAAATTAAAATTAAAATAAAAAATGAATTAATATTAATAATTACTAAATTAACCTTAATTTTAGCTCTAAATTTTTTTTAAGAGACTTAACAACTTTAATTAATAAGATTCTTAAGAGACTTAACATCTTAATTAATAAGATATTAATTAATTAAATATGATAAGTTAAATAGGTATCTTTTATTTTTTAGCCATTTATATCTCCTAGTTTTTAGCCATTTCTAATATATTAATTAATAAGAAATGATAAATAAAAAGAGATTATGAAATTATTAGATTGATATTTTTTAAATTAAAATTAAAAATAAATTAATTTTTAATAATTACTAAATTAATCTTAGTTTTGGCTTTAAATTTTTTTATAGAAACTTAACAATTTTTATTAATAAGATTCCTATTTCCTATTTTGTAGCCATTTCTAATATATTAATTAATTAAAAATAATAAATAAAGAGAGATTATGGAATTATTGGATTAGTATTTTTTAAATTAAAATTAAAATAAAAAATGAATTAATATTAATTATTATTAAATTAACTTTAGTTTAACTCCAAAAAATTTCTTAACAGACATAACAACTTTAATTAATAAGATTCTTAAGAGAATTAACAACTTAATTAATAAGATATTAATTAATTAAAAATGATAAGTTAAATAGATATCTTCTATTTTTTAAGTTATTCTATCTCCTATTTTTTAGTCATTTCTAATATATTAATTAATTAAAAATGATAAATAAAAAGAGATTATGAAATTATTGGATTAATATTTTTCAAATTATAATTAAAATAAAAAATAAATTAATATTAATAATTACTAAATTAATCTTAATTTTGGTTCTAAATTTTTTTTTAAAAGACTTAACAACTTTAATGCACAGAAATAATTATATTTTTTAAATAATAAAATAATTTATTGATAATTTCTTAATAATTAATACTTAATAATCTTTTTAGTATTTTTATAGCCTTTTATATTTCTAATAGGTTAGATAGTTAAATTCAAAACTTTCATTTTAATAATAATAATAAGTCTTTTTAATATTTTTATAGCCTTTTATATTTCTAATAGGTTAGATAGTTAAATTCAAAACTTTCATTTTAATAATAATAATAACTAATAATCTAATAACTTTATTGATTGTTTGTTCATAATATTTTCAGATCATTTTCTATGCATTGACTTGTATTTTATCGTATTACTTTCATTAAATAAACAGAGAATACAAAAAATTTTAAATAATTTTTACTTTGATTTTTCTACAATAATGTATTATTATATCATTAAATCATGTATTATTTTGATTCAAAACAAAGTTTTTATCATATTTTTATAAATCAAAAGCAAAATCCAGTCTAACCTTAAAATTCGCCAAAAACTCCGGTTTTTAACAGATTTTTGACCGGTTTTCCAGTTTAAATCCCGATTTTTCTGCATGTTGGTTTTCAAATCTAAACAGACCGGTTAGGATTCCGATTTCTGATCCAACAGTTGAACCGGACAGTCCGATCCGATTTTGATTAACATGATATAAAGACATTCTCTTCACTTAAGTAACTAGCATTTTCCACAATGTTAATCTCATTGGATATGATACTATCAAAGTCCTCGTGGCATAAAAGTAGAATCTGTGAAAAGCTTATCAGATCCTATCTTTATAATTCACCTGGAATTTATATGGAAATTTGTTTGCAAAATATCAAATCAACAGCATCATAGTGGAAAATCAGAAACTTCATGGTGGAAAATATTTACTTTCAATTTAACAACCAGAAATCAAGCAAGAAAGACATAAACATATAAGAAACACCAGATATAATTTTGGGATTAAATCATGAGGGGAAAATGTTACACAAAATAAAATATTGTATAACATTTGTTATACTCTAAAATTCGTATCAGATATCAAACTGCTGTCAACACTGACCTGAAACAGCCAAACCAGAAACTACCTATAGGAAAAAGAACCAAGCACTTTAAATGTTCTCAAATTACACTATACTCAGTGCCTCGAAAGGCAAAATTTGATTTCTCACATTTTCATACAGGAATATTTTGTACTAATGTACATAAAATACGTAAGAAAAAGAAACATCGTAGAGTAAAATGTGAAACCACCAATCAGACATCAATTTTGATCCAGGGAGTGGTTCCGGTTGTTCAAACCATATTGGCCCCTCATTTGAAAGAATGAAACACGAAAAAATAGCAGAAGTAATATGAAATGCGTAGAAAACACGGGGCTTTGTGCATCACCAAAATGACCACTGGCATTGACCATTTCGCCTTATAAATCACGAGGAAAATTAGTGATCTGTCCTTCTTCCAGTGTTTCCTTCCCATTAATCTTGTATGTTATTCTTATACGCATGACAAGAGATTTCTGTAAAAACAATAGTTGCTTTTCGTCAGCTTGACAAGTCTGCTTTAAGAAGCGTTCTTGAACAAAAATCATAAGGCACGTAGTAGAGCACAGATATTTTGTAAGCAACAAATAAATTTTACCTTTCCGTGTTGGCTGTTAGTAACTTTTAAATTTTGCGTGATAGACCCCTTTCCATTAGCAGGGAGAGTATTGCCGCTAGCTGGATCTAAGAGCAACTGAAGAAACTGAAAAATAAAATACCAACATACATAAGAAATAGATGATGAATAAAACAAGTAAAACTGACCAAGATTTTCAAAATGTACAAATGTAGCACCCAAATTCCAACAAGCAAATACACTAATGCGGAGGAAATGATTCGGTTAGTGACAGGTGCCGACATTTGTTTTGCTAGAACTCATCACTTTAAAAGAAGTAACAAACTCAAGTTGTGGTTTACCGGTTTCTGTGTGGTTAAGTTTATACAATTACATAGCAAACAAAGGTATGAAAATATAATTTCAATAGCAATTGGAAATCGTGGAACTGAAGATGATAAATATCATGATCTATTAAAAGTGGTAAATCAGAAATATAAGTTGAATTATCCTATGGTGATGATCTTAACAGTACATGTAGAAACTAGAAAGCACAACAGCACAAGACGGGGCATACCTTTGGAACTGCTGCCTGGAAAATAAAATCTGTATATGCATTAGAGGACAGATTCATAAAGGTAGCTTGCATATTGGTTGTTTGTGGACTTCCTGGCTGTTTGGAGAGATTGAATGTCAACCTCAAGGAGCTACTCTCAAATGCAGTTATTGACGGGTAAACTGATCCATTGTTTTCTATTCAAGACAAAAGAAAAATGGGCGATAATTAATAGACTTAATATCAATCAACGTTCTTTTTGCATTGGTTAAACAAAGTTTACCACTTGCTGATGGGCCAGAGGCAAAACCATCCAACAAATCTGTCATAGAAGCAACTCCAGCATTTGAAGATGCCCGTGAAGAATGTGACACTGCTGAGAGATCATCCAATGATGAAACTGGTTCCCTTTTACTTGTACCGGGGGATAATATATCAATTGTAGATGAGTTTCTTTGAGCAGAAGGTGAATCAGTAGGTGCAGAAGGTGATCCAATCGACAAAAGATCCAAAAGAGCATCTGTGCCATTTTTTGAAGTATGAGTAGCACCTAAATATCATACAATATGATAATGTTAGAATGAACTATTCATTCACCATAAATAAGATTACATGTATCTTTGTTAACAAACTGTCTTCACAAAAAATAAAGATGCATGCGTCTTTATATTGCTGTCTCTTGATTTTTCTATTAGTGAAGAAAGAACTATTGCATTTTTCAAGTAGAACATCATAAACTACTTCAAAATTCAATGTGATTAAACCCAAAAAACACAGTAAACTTCATCAAAATATTTCTACAACTGATAGAAGAACCACATATCTTCTACAACCATTAATAATAAATGCATTGAAAATTTTATCGAATCTACAATCATTAGATCCTTTTGACTTTTGTAAAGAAGTGGCACTGCTCTGTCTTTGATGTTCTATAGTTCCATTGGTTGGAAAGAAATGCCCGAACTTTCAAGGGAAATACATATACTTCGGATAATATTTAGGAAAGTTTAATGTTTTTTCAAATTGTCCTTTTCTAAGTTGCCCTGCCTGTGGTCTCTATAGAGATGTTTCTTTGATAGGCATGCAAAGAAATTGGCATGCCTTGTTATAAGATTCAAACATTCAGGTTCTAGGTGTTTTATTTTCTAATTTTCTTGGGAGGATGCCTTGTCCTCTTTCTTTGTATTATTTTTTTCCTCCTACAAAAATTTTCTTATCACCCTTGAAAAAAAACTGTCAATTCTATCTTTGATTCAGCCATTGACCGAGCGATTCAAAATATAAATAGAACCACCTACTTATTTATGGAAAAAACTACAGTGGCAATTCTTAGATAAAAGATATTTACTTATACATGCATTTTTATATACAATAAGTTAAACCACAAACACTAACCAGACTGTTGTGACACAAATGACTGATCGGCACCAAGAAGATCCTGAAGAAAATCACCACCAGAAGAGCTTGGTGCAGGAGTATCATCTGCGCCTAGATCAAGCAGATCTAGAAGAGGAGCCGCAGATTTGGCTACTCCATTCAGAAGACTGACTGAAGGTCCTGTTGGAGTTGAAACTGCATCAGGCAAAGACCCAGCCCTCCTAGCATTGAAAGCCGCCTCATCCAAAACTGGCATCCTTTCTACAAGTGTAGAACTGCATGTCAATAAACAAATCTGATTATGAGGTTCCTCTTAAAAGTTGGTGGTAGAAATCCAAGTTCTCAACATATTATAGTAAGCAATTTGAGTAGCCTCACCTAATATTTTGATGCTTTGCAATAATAGAATTGAACTCTATAGATCTTTGCTGCAATTCTAACACTAGGTTCCCCTTGTACTGAATGATTATTTCTCTGATTCTCCTATACATGTAGAACAAAAGAGAGATTAAAACTTTCATGTCAAATATGCAAATACAAGAGGATATGAGACAAATATAGGTTTACGAGTATTTGATTTATAAAAGGAGTAAAGAACATAGATGAAAAAGAACCACTAATTGTTATAGAGAAGAATACACATTCATGGGATCAATCAGGCTATGTTTCCAATAGTTTTAAGCCATATAATACGGCGCTTTATTACATTACTATAACGCAAATGCAATAAAGATGAAATATATTCATTTTAAGGTATAATGTATAGGTATTCACAAACATTAGAAAGCATATCATACTCAGCACAAGAAGGAAACCGTGAAGAGAGTTTCAATAAGGCAACCAAAGCCATTTCTTTTGTGGTAAGATCTGATGCATGACGTTTTAAAGCATGCTCTACAGAATCCACAGCATCTGACTCGGTCACCTGTTCATATTAAATAGATGAAGAATAAAAGAAAATTAAAGGAGACTTAAAGTAAACAAATAAAAAAGAATCGAAAGATTATTGATTTATATATTTTCCTACAAGCTACTACTATGTGGAAATGGAAACAGGCTACAACAGTCCAACCATTGATAAGGTGACCTAATAACCTACATCTCTTCTCTTTTATAAAGAAAGAAAAACACGCAGAAGGAATTTGGCATTGGCTCATTACTCCAACAAAAACGAACTAAGCAATGGGAATTTAAAAGAAAAGAGGCGGCAAGCTAGGATCTAAACTTTATAGTTTAGTGCCGAGTACATATCATGCCCAGATTTCTGCAAATTTAGCAAAGGAAATGTTGAGCATAGCAGAAACGTGCAAAAAAAATGTAAGTACTTTCCCATTGCTTTCCTAGCAATATATAGGATAATGACAAAAGAAACAGGAAAAGAACCAGATAATTTATTTCAACAATGATCAAGTGGTTCTGAGACTGATGGATTTTACTTGATTTATGGCATCAGTACTGCGCAAGGTAAGACTTCCTACTATATAGACCAACATATATATCATGTATCATCTTCTAAATGGGAGGGAGCGATACAAAAAGAAACCCCATCTTAGGTGGACCTATACGAGCCTCGTTAGAAAAGGGAAATCAAATGGAGGGTAGCCCTGTAGTTAACTAGAGGAGCTAAGAGAAATTATAAGTCAAAGTCAACTAAGAAAATATCATATTTAAACGCTCTATCATAAGACATGGTTTACAATAGAACATTATGATGTCTAATCCTTGAGCCGACCTCACCTCAAGAGAAAAGGCTTTTGTTATTTTAAAATAGTTAGAGCATGTTTTGTGTGTAGCTTCCAGTACCAATATGAATATCAACTTATTAAACCTTTACTTGAAATCAAGTGACTTTACCATTTTCATGGAACCAGCAACAGTAGAAACATTGCGAATAAAATGTCAAGAATCCATTCACTTACTGTTATCGGATCTTCTATGTCAAGCATTTCAACATTATTGATTAATAAGTCGCCATACTCTCCAAGGCACCACATTGCAACACGAACGAAAGTTTCCTGGTGGAAATATTCATCGATGTTATTGAATAAATGACAGCAGGTGAAAATCAACAGTATTGGTATATTTTGTTTAAGAGCACCTGTTCTGTTGACGTCTGAAATAACTTGTATAATGCTCTTACGGAATATCCATGAAGCTTGGAAGCATTGCTTATGACAACAATTAAGGCATGCCATACTTCATCTTTTAGGAAATTTCCGGCCTACTAGCGTAGCATAGAGATCAATATTTGCACTTTTTCTAAATTAATAAAAGGTCTCAATATGGACACTACAAGCATCAAACTAGTGATGATACAACTACAAGTATACAATAAATCACTAAATTTATCTCGTTATGATCTGTGACACTACATAGAAGCAGCAGTGCAGCTTGGTACTTATATAAAGATAGACATAAAAACCAGATTTGAAATATACATGGCTGTCAGATAAATGTAATAAGCTGTCGTGGCAATCAATTTTCAGGGGATGTAGCATGCCAGTTGTAGAGATGGGAAACAATTAACTATTTATCATACAAAAAACACATCATGAATTAATACCCAAAAAACTAGTATGAATAAGGTTTTTCATCTTGGAGATTTTGGCCACTACAAATGCTTGTTTCTTAGATTCATACCTTGGACAGAACCTTAAGCATCTGATCAATGTACCAGATCTTCTCATGGGAAAACCTGAAGTGCAAATAATTGAATCATAATTAACCAAAAGATACTATGGGGTTAACTGATGAGAAAAACCTCTCTAGTTTATAATTTTAAACTGATAAAAGGGAACGTGCTCATGCAAAATGAGCCAAGTCACTTCTATTTTAAATACCAGCGAAAAGAAACAGGGTGAAGAAATCACAGAAATATCCAGAATCCACAGATTCAAGATAAAATACATAAAAGATGTTTAGTATTGTTAACCCAAAAGTAAATGAAAAAACAGTTCATAAAGTTTCTAAGAATCAATCATCCACAAAAGTGAAAAGTTTTAAACAAATCAATCCATCTTATATTAATGGAAAGTTATGAATGGCCCAAGAAATCTTTTAATACATAAGAGAAAAAAACATTTGAATTATTAATTCTAATAAAGAAATCAACTCTAGCTTGGTTTCCCCACTGCTAAAAAACATGAAAAAGAATACAGATGGCAAAAATGTCCCATGTGCACTGAAAAAGGAATGTTATTGAGAACCTCCTAGACTCACTTTGAAACTATTGAGCAGATTTTGGTAGTAAGGTCCTCCCTGAAATCTTGATCACTAACTTCAAGATGATCTACTAGCTCTTTTGTTAAGGCCTTTACATTGGTTTCATTCACCAGAACATAAACAAGTTCAAGGGCTCTTTTCTGAATTGAAGCATCGGCATCCTAAACAAGAAGTCAAGTCACTATCTTCTCAAAGTGTAAAGAAAACAGCTTCATCATCAAATTATGAAACAAGAAAGACTGATGAATCAATACTTTTACACATTCCAGAATTGTTGCACGATGTCTCTGTACCGCTTGAGCGTCAGCACTCACAGCCCTCATCAGCATGTTCAATGCCACATATCTGAAGGGAAAAGTTGGAAATTTTCATTTCTCTTCAATAATGTACAGCAATCAAAAAGAAACATCAAAATTTTAAAAGAAAACAAAAAAAGGATTGATTGAGTATAGGTCCTGGTGAACACAATGTAGGAACTACTCTGTCAGTTTTTATAAAGTACTAATTGTAAAAGATAGAACAAGGGTTTCACTAACCTATGTCAAGCTATTGTGAATGATTATCAATGGTAGTCATGCCATATAGCCAAGAAGAGAAAGTGTAAATTTACAAGCTTCAAGATTACCAAAGTAATTAAATATGTCTAAATGAACAGAGAAGGAAAAAGTGGTTTCAAACAATTCATTTAATAGGTTTTGACCCAAAATTAGAAGTCCTTGATGACCAAAACGTTGAGAGAAAACTATTTTTAAAGGTAAAGGTAGCTTCTGCATCTCCATTAAGAAGTGTTTTCTGTTTGTAAAGTAATATAGTATTTTTTGACAAATGATCCTTTAAAAACTAAACTAAGACAAAATATATTCCTTAGTCCTGCCTTCACCCAAATGTTTTCCTTTTTGGTAATCTGACAGCTTATATATACCTCTGCTTGCAAACAGCCAGAAGCACAAGTGAGATCACTTAGAATTTCTCAAGACAGGCTAGGTGTGAATTGCTTCTGACAGACATGATTTTCGCAAAAAGAAATTTATGCAACAATACAAACTTTGGAATAGAGCCAAGCACATTTCACGCCTGTATCAGAGACTCCCTCAGTCTCAAAATAATAGTTGTTACACAAAGATTAAGAAAAATAACGATTGAGTCAATAAAAGTAACATCTTTACAAAATTACCCTTTATTATTATTGGTTGTAGTACATTGTCATACTTGGAAAGAGTCTATACAAGGGGTAAAATTGGTAAAAGTTAATTATAATTGCATTGGAAAAGTAAAGAGACTATTATTTTGAAACAACTTTTTGAGGCTAGAAAGACAATTATCTTGAGACAGAGGGAGTAATTAATTAGCCTTCAGACCTGCTATTGTTCATAATCATGCTTAAGTCATGGTCATATCTTTCAACTCCCAAGAACTCTTCCTCTTTTTTATTCCTTTATTTTAAAAATTAATCTGACCAGTAGAAAGCAAAATTGGCAAGGCAACAATTCACTCAATCAGATGATTTAATGTAAGTAAACAATTTTCAAAAGAAAACAAGCCTATGAGTCTTGATGTTGCATAAAAGGCACAGATCCCTAATGATTTAGCTTAATTTACTTTTATTTACCTCATTCATCTAAAGTTCTATTTTTCTTGGCTTCAGCTTTTAGAAGTTTCATTTTGCTTATTGAACTCTCAATGATATTAATAAATTCTATGAACTATCTCAGTAATTAATGAAGGAAGGAACCTACATCACTTACTGTAACTGATTTATAAATAATTCAGATGTTTTATTTCCTGAAAAATACCTGATATTGTTATCCCGATTTGACAAAAATCTTCCTAGGATATTGATTGCAAGCACACGCAATCCACCATTATCTTCAATGCTCATTATTGTTTGAACACACTCATACAAAATGGCATTCCCGGCAACTTTGTTTGACTCTGTCTTTGTAGCCACCTAAAAGACGGGCAACTTGAAAAGTCTAACCATAAATTTAATAAAGAAAAAACAGTAAAGAAAATTCATCAACTCATTTACCATTGTATGGATTTGATAAAGAAAAAACAGAACTAAACAAATGCAGCAACAACTAATGAACTTAATTTGATTATTTTGGTTTAAATTAATTATGAAAAGGTGAGGCTTAGTGCATGAAAATATAGAAGAGTTTAACAGTGACTAAATTATGGATGCATAGCTGCGGCAGAATATTTAATTGGTCTAGGCCCAAACATTTGAGCATACAAGTGGAAAAAGAATATTCAAAAAGTGTAGCATTTTAACAAATGAGGTTATTAATGAAACAATGCATTAGTGACAAATAATTCAGCCATCACAGCAGGAGAAATAACAATAAAAAATAATAAAATTGCTGATGTGCACTGACCTGGGCAAGTATGTCGTTCATAGAGTCGCTAGCATCTGCATCACCTTCACCCAATGCCCGCAACAATCTAAGCAATTTGATATGGAGAAAGGGGTCTGTAATGCCAGCAATATCATACTCTGGTGAATAAGGACTGTTTGCTAGATCCTTTAGAGTTCTCACCAAACCTTCTGTGCATTTCTACAATAGTTGTTCACTTTTTTATTACAACAAAGCTGACCACAGTCAAATCCTCTTGCAGATATTTTTATATGCCTTTACACGAGAACATAATATTTATGTGAAGCAGACATGCTTGCAAAGACTAACAAGTGGTTCCATAATGTAGAAAATTGCAAGCTAGCCATTTGAAACGAGGTTTTACAAACATCAAACATCATATTGTTAACTCAAACACGGGTGAAACGCAGTAACAGCGACAAGACTGCATGTGTATTTGTAGATATTGTGGCACGTGATGATTTTCTCATGCAGAGTCTTATAATGGATAAATTTACCTCAGTTCATATCACGAGTACATACTAATGAATACACTAAATCAGAGACAAAAAGATTATAAGAAAGACGGGAAAGAACCTTTCGAATATGTTCAAGAGCTTCTGAGCTAACTTTACACAGCTCTGTACAAAGCTGAACCCCGGTGATCAAAACTCCATGATGCTTCTCCCTTAGTAAGGCAGTAGCAGGATTGACAAAATTTTCTGCCAAGTCTGGGACTTTCTTTATGATTCTTAAAGAGCATAATGCTGCCTATAAGAAAATGAGTATAGTCAACTTACTATAATGAAAATGCATAAATTGGCATATTTTAGGCTGGATGCAGGCGAGTTGTACAAGAAAAACAAGTATGTTTCATGGGATATACAGATCCATACAACAAAGATCTTTTGAATCCGTGAAATAAACACCATCAAACAAATTAAGAAACAGCAACAAATAATAAGCCATAATCTTGCAGAGTAAAAGCAGAGAAAATTCAAAACTAATTACTTTAAGTGGGAGAGGGTTGTTGTCATAATGTACAGGAGGAATTGTGAGCCATAAAATAAAAGCATTCTTAGCATGTTTTCCTCTCTTGAGCACTCAACTTCGTGTAACTTCAATTATCCAATAAATGCATTAAGTTCAATTGTTCCTAAAGTGATAACAATCTTATGAAAGGACATAAAAATATAACGAGAAGTTACCTTTTTCCGAATATTTGGATCCCTAAATTGCAGCAACCTCTCAATCTCTGGTGCAAGATCACGAGCCATTTCTGCTGAACAAATGTTCCCTAAAGCACAAAGAGCGAGCCCCACTATATACTGATTTGTATGATTAAGATCTCTGATATTTAATTAAGGCTTCTACTGAAAAAACTAAGTTCCACATATTGATTCAAGTCACCAACCATCTAATATCCATGCACCACACTCAATAGTGTTCTGCATGAGGGGGATGTTGGAAAAAATCCAAGTCCCACATAGATGAAAGAGAGAGCCTTAAAAGAGTTTATAAAAGAGTGGCACCCTCACCTTACAAGCCAATTTTGTAATGATAAGTTAGGTCCAATATAAAATAAAAACCTGACATGGTATCAGAGCATATATCTATATGGGTCATCCATCATATATATTCACACATCAAGCCCAATATTAGATTAAAGATAGAGCCTAAAAAGAGTTTATAAAAGAGTTGCACCTTCATCGGAGTGTATTGGATCTTACAAGCTGGTTGGAAAAAACCGAAGTCCCATAAAGATTAAAGATAGAGCCTAAAGCCTAAAAAGAGTTTATAACCGAAGTTCCATTTAAAGATAGAGCCTAAAAAGAGTTTTGTAACGATGAGTTAAACTCAGTATAAAAAACTAGCAGTTTCTATAACATGCCATCAAAATTACTGTCTAGAGCATTTGCAAATGGAATCTAAAACATGAGCAATAAAACAGGGGAAATATTGACTTGAAATTGGATACTGTTTCAAAGAATTGGTGACCAACATTAGAACTTCTTGTCTTTCATCAACAAGCAACATAAGGCCAAGGTAACCTATTCTCTTCTCGGGAAATCCAGGAGATGATATCAACTTGAGGCATTCCATTTGACCAAAATGTGTGGGGTAGCCAAGCATGTGGATGAACATTAGCTTGGACATATTCCGATGCCTATAGTGTTGATCATTTTCATCAATTGAAGCACGAATGGCAGCGCATTCTTTTCTTACAACACCACGCTCCTCTGCCGCAGTTTTGCAAGCACGTATAGCCCGAATCATGTCCCTAAAAGAGGGGATATGAACAAAATGGTTAAAAGATACTGATAATAACAATTAAACTATTATGCACAAACTATACAGGAAACATTAATCATGTTTGCAAGAGTAAAAAAAATAGAAAGATGTTAACTTCGTCTGATTTTGCACACAGGAAGTACTATGAAAATTTTCAATCACGATCACAACATATGTAGAACAAGAAAATGGAGTTTGATTCAGTGACTGTATGGGAGGGTTGTATTTTCAATGTTCAAGCATGCATTATGTAATACTAGAAAGAGCACTGTTATTCCAAAAGAGATCGGTACAAATAAAACAGAAAATCAGTACAAGGGGACTTCCGAATCTCTATATACCATCAAGGATAGGCCAATGAAACAAATCACGAGAAGAAGTCAACGATAAAACCCTATTCTAAAAACTCTGTAGAGACATAGCCTGTTGGCTATTACTTTCCATCTACAAAGAGTGAAAGACGGCATATTGGCACAACACAAGGTCTTCAATCATGTTCCCTGCCAAAACACTGCAAAGCTGGTACAGGGAAAAAAATGCTCCAAATTGTTGCCATGTATTTCTAGTTATTCTTAAATCTTCACCCCTTTTATTCTTCTTGTATAAATACGACATATGTATGCACTTACGTGACAACATTCTGAGCGAAGTGTGATTGACTCCAGTGACATCCAAATCATATTCATCACATTGGTTATTACATTATAGGGAGCCAAATAAAATCTTATTCTTTTACAATATGTACATGACTTCTAAACCTCATGGTCACTCCTTCATTTTTCCTTCCCATCATTTTACAATACCTCCAAACATCAACACATTCTCCTCATTGCAAACACAACCTAAGTTTCCTAAACTAGCAACAATTTCCCTCTCAAGTAACAACTCCCATTGCATCAATAACAACATCGTCATTCGAGTAGCATCACAATGACACAGCCCATAAGAGTACCCATCTAAGCAAAAACTTTATATTGCCTCAACACTTCAGGCTAAAGACGTATCCAGTGACCAAACCAACACCCGGGATCACATCCGGTCACTTTCATTTTCTCAAATTATTTGTGGTATCCACTATGTGTCTAGTGCAACATAGAATCTCACTTACTCTCTTTTCAACAAGAAGCTAAAGTCTTGTGATTGAACAAGTAAAAATGCCACATGTGCAACAATTTTCAAGTAATAACCACACAGGATCTGGCAATTTGCAATGTTTTCTGTATCAACTCAATTACAGAATAATAATGATAATAATGGCACAAAAATTACTAAGTAATTAGCTTAATTCTTTGCTAGTTGCATTGGTACTAAACAATATCACAAATTTTGAGCTTATTCATCTCAGTAAGCATTAAGCAATGGTTCTAATTCTTGAGGAATGAAATTGAAACGGAAAGATTTGAATTGCAAACCTCAGACGCGTGGCTGAAGAGAACGGATTCATCGTTGGAAGTTGAATTGGATCCAATTTCCAAATGGATTGAAGATGAGATCCGAATCGGTCACGAGGAAGAAGAAAGGAATGGAGATTTGGATCTGAGAGTGGTGTGTGAATGTGTGAGTTTGTGAATTTACTTTCTCGCTGTTTGTTACTCTTTCTTTTTGCCGTGTATTCCACTTGCAACCATTGTTAATGCGAACGTTGGTTTGTTTCTGTTTCTGTTGAATTTTCTGAAATGAAATGAAATGGAGAAAGGGGGATGGCTAATTACACCTGTAAATGTCTAATTGCACCTTTATGTCATTGTAGTGTCCTAACATATATAATAAACGATGTATTCCCCACACTCACTTCCCTCCTAACAAATTTGACCAAAGTGACTAATAAAGTATGTTGGCATGGTTTATTTATTTATGGATTTTTTTAATCCATCTCATGGCGAAAAGAAGCATCTCTAGACGTTTTTACTTGTATACTTAAAATGTTTTCGTGAGTAAGTCATTTCATTTTATTTAAAAATATAGTTGAAGATGTATCTTTGTTATGATCTTTATTTCTAAATTTAGTGTTTTACGTTTAATGAATTTTATTGATTCTGAAGCCTAACATGAAAATCTTATTGTTGCTCCTGTTCCTGGTAGTTTCTTAGAAGACTCCTATGATATAACACCTTAATTCCTCAGCGTAATTTATAAATAAAAATGAAAGTAAATTAAAATAATTAAGTAATTAGGATGCTACATTCAACTTCAATCCGCTCATACAATAAGATATATAAAGAACATAAGAAATCATAATATAAGTCTGCACTTCAACATTTTATTAACAGCGGAAAAACATAAGAAATTATCAAACATAGGATATTCACATGATAATCGCCACCATATATAAAATATAGAAACAAGTGTTCTTTCTCCCAATATTATTGTTATAAATATTTAATTAGTTTATTGTTTTTATTAGTTTATTATTTTATTAGTAATTTAAGTTTAGATATTTAGTAAAGCCCATTAGGTCATAATACTCTATTTAAAGAGATTAACACTTGTATATTCATAATAATAATAATAAGTCTGAATCAAAATTACCTATTATTTCGCAGGTTAACAAGTTGAATGAAAATAATTCTTTGAAATGGTCTCAACTCGTGAAAACGACTTTGAATGGTAAAGGAAAAGCAAAACACCTTACAAACGCACCTCCTAAAGAGACAAATCCTAAATTTGAAAAGTGGGATACTGAAGATTTGGCGATCATTGCATGGTTATGGGCTTCAATGACTCCAGAAATTAGTGACACTTGCATGTTTCTAACTATGACAAAAGAGATTTGGAAAGCATTGGAAGAAACTTATTCTAAAGCCAAAGATGTTACCCAAATATATGATGTGAAGGTGAAAAAACTGGAAATTAAACATGACAACAAAACAATTACAGAATATGCTAATCATCTCAAAGCCTTGTGGATGGAGTTAGACCACTACAAAATTATCAAAATTGAGTGTACAGCAGATGTAACAACACTTAGAGAGTACATTGAGCAAGATAGAATCTACAATTTTCTGGTAGGACTCAACTCTAACTTTGACCATGTTAGAGTACAGATTCTTTGCAAAGAAAAAGTGTCGAACATTAATGATGTAGTGTCTATAGTGAGAATTGAAGAAAGTAGAAGGGAATTAATATTGACATCATCACATGTGAAAAGCTCAGTAATGCTTGTTGAGAAGAATTCAACCATGTTAGTTAATCAGAAGAAATTGGGAGAAACCTATGTCGAGAAGAAGGATTGTTGTACCCCAAAATTTGTCCTCTCTTTTTTCAAGACATTTCACAAAGGATCTCCAATGCTCAAGGATTCTCAAGGAATTGATCAAACAAAATCACCTTCGAAACACTGAGACCACAAATTAGGATTTTGACTAAGAACGACTGATCACTGACTTTTGACCTAATATATAATCTATTGGTTTGAAACATGGTCTCAAGGATTCAAATGCATCATTTTGACCTAATTGCATATATCAATTCATTTCTCAAAGATCAATTGATTGATAGCTGAAACTCAGTCAACTGATGAAAAGTCAACTGATACATCAAAAGTCAAACTTTGACTTTTTGGTCAACATTAAGTTTCAAAGATCAAAATTCATCAAGAAATTCAAGAATATCAAGCTTGATCATCAAGAAGTCCAGAAAGTCAAAAGTCAATTTGAAAAGTCAAACTTTTCAAGACTTATAAATTTTTCTAAGTGTTTTGTACATGATAATTTCACTACTTCATGCCAATTTTTTACCAAGATGCATGATGATTCAAATGAAACTTTTAACATGAAAGTTGTAGATCTTTATGAATTCTACAACTTTGTAATAGAGGGTTTATGTCCAAAAAACGCTTAGATTTGAAGATATAAGCCCATGAAGTCATGACATTTTCATCTAACACTTAGAGAAATTTCCAACAGATTTTGGTCAGGATTTTATCCCAACTTCTTAGCATTTTTTCACATAGTTCCAAGATGATTTTGTCAAAATGGCCGACATGAAAGTTATAGAGGATGTTTCAAGTTTTTCAAAACATCCAAGAGCATGAATTTATCATACTTGAGCTAGGAGATTCAAGGGCCTGAAGTTGGGCATCCATTCTTGAATTGCAAGTCATTTTTTTGAAGAACAAATAATCCAATTTGCACGATGTGCTGCATAATCTTACTTTGCAGACCTTGTGACTTGCAAATCTGTCCATAATCAGATGCTTACATAATTGATTGAACCATTATCCAAGTGATTCAAGTATTGTCCATTGCATCATTCTATTTATAGCACAAAGGCACCATTGTCATTCACATAAAGCAACTTTTATGCAATTGTCAACTCCATGAGCCTCTCAATCGTTTTCTCTGTACATACACAATGTCAAAGCAAGAAGAAACATGCCTAAAAGCCTCTAGCAACTTCAGACCATGCTTTTTCCATCCATTGGAACACCAATTTTCACATAACTTGGTTGTTTCATCTCAATCAAACCAGAATTTTGACAATTTGTAAAACAAACTCTCTCATCCTCTCAAACCTCCTCTATAAATAGAGAGGCCATTTGCAAGCCAAGCAGAAGTTTTTTGGTTGTGTATATAAGTTTTATCAAAACCCATCATACTCTCAAAAAACCATAAATGTCCACAAAACTCCACTCTTGAGCTTAGAAACCAAAATCTTCAAATCTCTCAAACCTTGCATTTCTGTCCAAACAAACCATCAACATACTTCATATACACCATATAGAAGTTGTTCAAACATAAGAATAACTTCTGTAACATCATTATCATCACCGTCCAAACTCAAAAACATTGTCTTGCAAGTTGACTTAATTGGAGAGACCCAAACACTTTCAACACAAACTAAGGAATGAAACAACTTCAAGGAGGTCTAATGAAGCTCAACCAATCATCATATTGCACCTGGAAACATCCATACATATTTTGGATTTTCACTTCAAGAGGTGAGTTTTCTCAAACTATGATATCCTTGTTCATACATCATTTTACTTTCATTTTCAAAAGAATAAAACAGGACAAATCAAAGTAGAAGAGTTGCAAGCACTCAAAACTACAGAAAAATGCTTCTGGAAGTCTAACACGGCCGACCGTGTCACCTGACACGGGCCGTGTCAGGAAGAAAACAAGAAAAATGGCAAGACAGGGTTCTGACACGGGTGCCCGTGTCACAAGACATGGCATGTGTCCCTCTTACTAGGCTTGAAATTGGACGAATTGGCAAGACAGGGTCCTGACACGGATACCCGTGTCACAGGACACGGCCCGTGTCAGCTTGTCTGGGACAGAAAAATCATGCAGGGATAATTACAGGGTCCTGACACGGGTGTTCGTGTCAGCCAGGCACCAGAATTCTTGATTTTTGAGACTTTTTGTTAATGTTTTTGGATCATTAGTGGTTTGTAATAGTAATTATGGCGTTATCGCTTTCATCCCCATTCATTAAACTTGTACCCATATTCCCTAAAAGTATTGTAATAGCGTAGGACTTTAAATTTCCCCAATTTATCTCTTTTGAATAAAATGCTAGTAATTAGGATTTGTATGTGTTGTACCCCAAAATTTGCCCTCTCATATTCTTCAAGATTTGTCAAGATCAACCTTCAAATGCTTCAAGACATCTCAAAGGTTGCACGGTCAAACATCCTCCTAAGCCAGTCAAAATTAGGGTTTTGGTTCCTTCCAAGAATTTGAGGTTTTCAGTGGTCCAAACAAGTCCCATAAGCCTATATACATTTCCAAGCATCTACATGCCAAGTTGCAAGGTTCACAACATCAAAATTGCACAGTCAAAAGCCTCATTTGCTTCACAATCAACTATAGGGGCAAAATGGTCATTTTACAGTAAAAAGTCAAAAAAATTGGTCAACATCTTATTTTGAAGCCACAATCATCATTTGATCAAGTCTTGATCATGATTCCACAAGCATGGCTCAAAAATCATCAAGATGCCAAAAGTTTCTATTTTGGGACAGTTGAAAAGTCAACTGTAACTTGACCAAGGCATAACTTTTTCATGGTTCATCAGAAAAATTCCATCCAATGCTCATTTTGAAGGGGATGACATTTCCTACAACTCATCTTCACATTCCAAGTCCAAGAAATTCTCTCATAAAAAGTTATCAATTTCTACATTATAGGTCATTTTTAAAAGTCAACAAAAAGGCACTTTAAGTCAAAGACCATAACTTGAGATTGGTAAATCAAAATGACATGGGACCAAAGGCATTGGTTAGAGTACTTCAAGACATTTCCAAAATGTCTAAGAACATGTTCATAGCTTCAAAATTGAGCAAGATATGCATTGGAGAAGTTGGGAAATTTTTGGGAATTTGCAAAAGTCAACTTTGCCTAAAACACCTTGTTTTTGCTAATGGGCCTCAAATTCTTTCTTGAAACATTGTCCAAGGCCTATGCACGACCCATTGAACTTAAATTGAATTATTTTCTT